TCCATCACTTCGCGCCTCGTTCAGTCAATAATTATTATGCATTACACCTCACCGTTTTTCAGTTAAATTTAAATTAAAATAAAGGAGTAAGGAGGTCATTTATATATTCTACGCGTGCTTTGATCATTAACCATTATACGCTTAAGTATTTTCAATATATCCCTCCCCCCTCCCTTTTTTTTAATAAAATAAACGCTTCTATCGTTATCTTTGTTTTGTCTGTTTTGTCAGAGCAGGATTTCAGACTGGGGTCATGTTTTGACCGCTTTTCCAGGAAATCGGTCAGTATTCACAGATAATCACCCAAAACATTGCGAGCGCGAGAGAACGTGACATTTGCAACTACCGGGTTTAGATAAAACGAGTTAGCAACAAGTGACAAATAGGGTTCCCTGCAGGAGGAAAGTCTGCCGTTCTATTTCATCTACTTTTCTCCTTCCCCTTGGTTTTCCTACTCACAAAAACATAAAAAGAGCAGAGAAAGTAAGAAGCGTCTGAACTACAGGGTGACATCTCTATATTTTTTTCTTATCTACGCACAGAATTAGAAATTTAAATTTGATTGAAAAAATGCAATTTGCATGTATAAATATACAGGGACGCCTTTTATCCTATACAAAACTTCACTTTAAACCCTGCTTTGGACAATGTGTGTAAATTGATGGCATACTAGTTTTACAGAAACATTTAGATATATTAACTTCCTGAAATACAACCAGGCGCTGTCACTGGTGAAAAACGCCGATAAAGGCCTTATACAAACACCGGTTAATTCCTCGAAAACACAGACACCAGAGAGCCGAAATCTTAACAGGTGCTGACTGCCAGGAGGCAATTGGCTTAATGTATATATATATATTTAACAACTGCTTGAAACTACACAGAGACAAGTACCGGCAGAGAGAGCAGCAAATGTAAATTGTTTCCTTTGAAAATCATTTCCGTGCGTCAGGCATGCTGCACTCCCAGTAAAAAGTCGTATAAAGGCCATTCCAAGCATATGCCGTGAAATGGTTCTAACCATGAACGGCACCAGAACTGATTTGTTTGTTTAAGTCACGTCAACCAAATGATTCAATCAAATTGTAAAAAATTATCAGTACACCCTATGCTCATACATCCCCTGTTTAAGTCATGTCAACCAAATGATTCTATCAAATTGTAAAAGATTATCTGTGCATCACATACTCAAATTCTACTGACATTTTACTGCCAGACAATATTCGAATGGCATCATAAGGTTGAAGACGTCTAACCGTTAGATGATGCAGGGTCACAGTTCGCAGAAAACAAACTTGGAACTAAGAATGATCTTTTTGTTGTTATTCTAGTAGCGTAGTACTTACAAACTGTGTCTAACCGCTCTTTTCAATGTTGCACCTCATGACATCGACCAGAGAGTGAGAGATTCAGTCTCGTCTTACTGAAAGTTGGTCTAAGATGCCAAATCACATATGGTTGTCTGTTTGGTAATTTTAGTCATAATATTGACAAAGAGTGATTAACGCGACGGGAAATCCCAGTAAAGATATATAGTGGTTAATCACATGCGTAATATCCCGGTACTTCTCACGTGAGCAAATAAGTATTAATATAATTAATAATTCCTAGTAAAGATATACATACTCTGATATTTTCTGAATAGTCGTGCCTCACGTAAATAAATGTTTTCAACATAGGAGCAGGCTCGTGCATTATTTGTTTCTATACATTTATCTTGCTTACAGTATGATGCTACCGTCCGACCCCCATGCTGTGAGCAGTTGACTCGGCTTTAAGCTCGCACATACCATGGACATAATCTCTCATTATGTCCATGCACATACTTAGCTTATGGTTATAAAATACTTGATCTACATGTGCAATGATAATGCCTATTAATAATAATAATAATAATTTATTGAGCACATGAAATGAGTGTACATTTATAGGCTCTCTACACTACTAATTATAATATACTTAAGTTTAAATACATGTACATAGTAATAATAAAGTTACAGGTGTTATCTCAATTTAGATAGCTTCCGTTTTCTCATAGCACTGTGTATAAACTTTACAAGTGCGGACACAGCTATTTAAATATGTAACTTACTATTTGTGTAACGTTGTAGTTAGATGCAGTAAGATATATGCGTCCAAGATTTGATTGCATCTTTTATTAAAAGGTGTATATCATTAAAGAGTCGCAATGCTTAATCACATGTAATATATATCTCGCGTGAGAAAATAAGTTGCCGGAAAGTATTATTTTAATTATCATAAATGATATGTGAAAACTAAGTGAATATCAATACCTCTAGACGGCAAGTAAAGGGAAGGTATTGAAAAGTCCCAACAACCAAAAGAAAATCAATGGAAAGTGGGTACGGTGTATTACTCAATAACCCCAAAATACGCATATTTAGAAATTGGCCTTTAAAAGAAGTCCGTGTTTTAACTATTTGATATCAACAAAGCTTGTTTATCAATACATCACAAGTCTTAAAGGTCAGAGCCCGTTAACTTGACCACAACCAGCGATAGCCCATGGGTTTCCTGCAGCACCCTACCATTGGTTGTAGCGAGTATCTCGAACAGCTGAGTTTACACCAGGTTCAAGTTTAACCTCTGACTGAGCCATGGAAAATATTTCAGCTACATAACTGTCCATTCTAAGTGGACTCTAACATCGCAATAGATCCAAACACTGTCCAGTGACCTTGAGGAAATAAACGCTTGAATGCACACCCTCCCTTTTACAGTGGTCCTCAGTGTTAATATAATAATAATAATAATAATAATAATAATAATAATAATAATATTAATGATAATAATTTAATGTTTTAACATTTTAACATTTCAACTTTAAAGTGGCCAACACAACAAACGATTAGGGGTAAATTAACAACAATGGTTTGCATACACTGTACCCTCCCACCCCCATCCCCATCCCCATCCCTACCCCCAGCCCCAGAGTGGGCCAAGCATTTGGTTTTACTTTATTATTGGGTTCGATATAAGTATAAAAACATTTTTATTATAAACGTCCTGAACGCGGTCATATTTTCATCATCTCCCTCATATTAAGTCATAAAGAGCGCGCGGATAAGTAGCAATGATGACGTTCTTCTTGACACAATCTGACGGACGCAGAAATACACCATTTGGTGGATTTTGTGATGGAATGCCCCTCAAGTGCCAGGCGACTATAATTGAAGATGACTAATAAAAAAAAAAGAGGAAAATTATAAGCACATAATCATTGCTTGCTAAGAGTAAATGAATGGGAACCCCTGAGGTTTAGATCAGCTGAATTAATCCTCGTTTTGTATAAACCCTCTGAAATGATCGAGTTCAAGTGGACCGAAAATATGCTCGTAGATAAAACATCATCCTCAAGAATCTAAAGATCAGTAGACCAAAAAGGTACAAAAGTTTTGAGTGAAAAATACGCCGTGGACAGATAATGTAGGCCTTACATTTTCAATTTGGTAATTGAAAGTTAGTTTCATGCGTGACGTTATCAAACATAGAAATCGAATGAATCAATACTCTTTTGATCTCAATACAACATCCTTTTGTTGTAATACACATGTATTTACCAGTGACATCTTCACCCATTCAATTTATGTCACGAAGCTGTGTTATGTTCACTGTAGCAGTGTTATTAAAATTTAGTAAGGCAGATGAACGTGTTGACTAAGATTCTAGACAGCCCGCCATGTCGTGCCACCGGTGGATCAAGGATTTCAAATTGGGAAGCAAAAAAAAAAAAAAAAAAGGCCCAGGCCCCGCCGTCTCTTTCACCTTAATCTACCTATGACATAACAATCAATTGTTCTCTTAATTAAGATAAAACTGTGTTTAAATTATGTGAGTTTCATTAAGCTTATTGGCCAATCGCCTAATTTTCCAGTCGGTTTCATTGTTGTTTCCGACCGCGGATAAATATATGTTGTTTCTCAAGTCAGTATTAGCAGTTTTCGGTGTATAATATGGAATAGAGAATTGCAGACTGACGCCGAGTACATAGGCATGTATAAAAGAGAGTTCAAAGTTACAACTCTCTGTGACAAATCTTTTTCTGGAATCGAGACTGTCTTCTGCCAAACGATGTACATGTATGACGGGTCTAAATCCTCCTAAGTAACATATACGACAATAACAGTGCACTGCCTGAAATCGTTTTCCCGGTAAATCAGATAACAAAATAACAAGTGTGAGGAAATCCAGTGATTGAGCCAATTATTTTGTGAAGTGATATTTGGATAGTGAAGTCTGTCAGAACAACAACATTTCACGCGGTGAGAAAATATCTGTAAGCTATCGGCGTTTAAATAAAATTAGGTTTCGCCGAAGTCAAGATCGTGAAACCCAAGAATGAGGAAGATCTTTCAGTTTTAAAACACAAAACCGTAATCCGTAGTGAACAGAGTGATTATCAAAATAGCGGTGGTGGTTAAAGAAGGTGGCCGAGTAGACGCCAAAGTTGCTACTTGGCCTTATACTAGTAGAATATTTCTGACATTAATATATTCAATTTTGTGTTGTAGAGATACATATTAAAGAACAGGTTGTATAATTCTATATCATGTTTCTGCTTGATCATCTTTCTTTAATTCTTTCCGCCTATTCGTGCATTAACTCATTCAAAATTTAAAACACTGTGGTCAAAATTAAAGAGGTTTCTCTATTTAGTGCGTACGTTATAAGCAACAGACTTATATCTGAAACAAAAGGATACAAGGTTAAAACGATTTTCTGCAAATGACTGGAATTTGCATCATTGCACTCACCTGTCCGTCTGTCTTATTGTTTTGTTTTATTTTCTGTCTGCCTGTCTGTCTGCCTGTCTGTCTGTCCTAATGTATGGCTTCATGTCTGTCTGTCTGTCTGTCTGCCTGCCTGTCTGCTTGCCAGTTTGACTACAGGTACTATTTTATCCGCATATTTATCTATCTTCTGGTATCTATCTTTCTACTGGTATCTATCTATCTACGATCTATCTAGCATATATTTACCGCTTCTGGAGATTGGCGGCGAGGCAGCAGAGTTCTGGAAGTCATCCATCTTTGTCTGCTGTGCGATCCGAACTTTTGATATCGAAATGCAATTCAGTGCTTAGCTGGCTGCGTAATGAGGTCGCCCTATGACAAACGCGAAGATGTCACACCTGAATAATCCGGAGACATTTCTTCTGCTGTATGCTATTTCCGCCTCTAAAGAAATACCAAAAAGAATACGTCAAATTAACTAAAATTTGAAGTTTGAAATTTGCATTAATTTTGAACGGTAGACCCACAATCTTTCTCGAAACCCCGTTTATGGTATATATATATGAGTAACACGCCTTCGAACTTTTACCTATATTTAGAGCTTTTATATAGACTTAGAGCTGTTATATACAGATCTGTATACTGTCAGCAACCACAATCACGTTTCTTGGAAAAGAAGCTGGGTTAATATCATTAGGCCTATGTAACAGAAGAAAAGTTCGCGACGCATCTAACTTGGACCGGACTTAATGACTTAATGACGTCACAAGGCAACAGATTTGCTTGGTAGTCGACATTAATTTCTGCAATGGGTGTCTCTGTATCACCATCTGTTTCTGGTGTTTTAGAAAAACATTGTGGGGAATTTAACATAAGACTGAACAAAATATATTTTGACAATAAGAAATGCCCAACAATACAAAACAGAAGATAGCACATTTATCATGGTTATCACCATCATTCAACAAGGAGCGCTGCAGAGATAAGTTTACAAGGTATCATTTGTTTTGAAAAATAAAAACAAATTGTTTAATGTCGTGGTGTGAAATTGCTTTAAGAAGGAGACCACGCATCTTAGTGCAAATTAGATTTATTTTCACGTTTGCGTTTCGGGCGTTCCCAATGTCACTAAGATAATGTCAAGATTATACCACGTATCGAACTGATTAACATGAACTGTGTTGAAGGAGCCGTTTAGAAATGATTGGGGGGGGGGGGGTATGTGAAACTCTACAGTTGTATCCTGGTTGGTATTACCAAATCATATGTTTCCTTGCGCCTTTCCATCTCGGCCCACAAGCAACAGTCCCGTACCCAGCAATTTCAAAAGGAAGGGCTCTTTTTTCGTGGAAAAGTGTGTCTTTTACCATGCAACCTTTGTGTACTAAGATCACATTTTTACCCTGAGCAGATCTTCTCCCGACAAAAAGGGAGGTTCTTTCTTACTACCCGAGCCCCCTGGCTACGGGCCTGACAACTAACGCGCGCGCACGTACTTCCCGTTTAACCCAGAGATAATATCAGTAATATACAGCTTACAAAGTGGGAGTTGCAATTAGGCGTCTGGCATTGTAACTAATAAGGGTTTTGTTAATATTTAGCTGAAAGCGGCTTTGGAAATCCGGAGAGGGATTTTCAACCCAGGGTAGAATAACATAATCTTAACCTAAGGTATTCAGTGCCAATGAACATAATATGCACAGCTTGGCAATCGCCACTTTCTATATTGATGTTGCCATTGTTAAATCTACCGCTCAAACAAAACATTGAAATATTTCGGACTATGTCAAAGCTTTAATAGCTTGTTATTATGACCCTTTTGCAGCCTTGAGAACGAACGTGTACACATCTACTGGTCACTTTATTTGGCAATCCACGTGACATTTTGAGACGCTTCTCTTATTCTTCCCATTGTTAAATGACATCGATATATATATATCAATATATAACCCCCCTCTCCCCCAACTTCCCAAGTTGCTGGTACGAGCCACGTCCAAGTAACCCTCACCATCTCCCCCTGTATATAGCCTACCACCGGCCCCCAAAATCGACCTTTCTCCTAGTCTGCCCCGAACCCCCACCGACCCCCCTGGTCCAACCGACCCGTTTAAATCCACACTGCATCGAGTTTTCACCATATCCTACGTAACGGCGAAATACAATCCTGTTATTATAATGTCAAACTGCAAACTGGCGACCAAGTAATTTTAAAGATAATTATTACTAATGAATGGGGGGCTACCTTCACACTGTCCCATCCCGGTACCCTTCTGGTAATATACATATTCTTGTACTAAACGCATACCATCATGTATGTATTGATGCCATGTATGGATGGATGGATGGATGAGTGCATGGATCTGTGTGTGTGTGCGTGTATGTATGTATGTATGTATGTATGTATGGATGAATGTATGTATGTATGTATTTATGTGTCTGCGCACGTGTGTTTATGTTTGCAGTATGTACACATGCCTCGGACTATTGCATAAGGTTTTTTAGTTTTTTTCCCATAAATAAACATGGTGGGGTGGACTTATATTATGTCTTTTCATTTTTCCTCACACTTAAGCCTACTCTTAGTAGGCCTGTCTCTCGTGGATGCGTTGGCTGTCCATGTAAGGCCCCTCCCCCACCCCACCCCTCCCCCCACCTCACCCCCACCCCTACCTATCCCCCACCCCCACCCCACCATGTTTGTTAAGTATCACTGCTGTATTATGTCATATCTCTTTAGACTCATCATCCTCTCATACATAATTAAGTAACGCGGATGTTTAAGTATTTCATGTACACTCACTTGTATCACGTTTCCACTTACACCCCTTAACATACTTCATCGTTGCTATTAATTTGTGAGCTCGAATATAATTATAGAAAAATCACCTACAGAAATGAAAGCACGAACATTTTTAAAGAAGCACCACTTAGCACTTGAGTTAGCAATGCAGCTTAAGCCGGATCCTGTAGTGGCATATCCGTATCACATCGACGCCTAACAAACCCTACCTTTTAAGATATTTGACCCCGCCTTTAAAGTTCATTCATTCTTTCACATACCATTATTCAATGCAGCGCAATACTGCATAGTATTGTTATGGGATGTAGACTTACGTTAACACTGCAAAGCATATCCCTGTGCCCGTCGGTAAATTCAACTGGTAAATTCTTCAATAAGATCCTGTAGCAATCACGGGTTGTAATTTGTAATTCTATATAAAAAAAAATGTGTCTGCTTGTCCTTCGCTGCTCACTGGCAAGTCGTTGTGGATACCCCCTTGAGTAAATTATGTAGGCTACATGGGAAATATAGTTGCAGCAATCGGGGGACCTGTTAGGTATTCAATATATTACAACCGTCCCGAAGTCACGTGCAACAGGGGGATAAGTAACCCCGATTGATATTTCTGAGGCGATATTTTCAGGAATGCAGGTCGGCCTAAAAAGTTTAGATCTTCACCGTTGATCCCGCAGAGAACTTGGCTCTCGGTTTCCTCGCTCCCTGCTCTCGCTTTGCCTCAGGTGAATAGGTCGTGTAACCGCGTTGTCGTCTGGCTACCTGAGTATTCTCAACGCTCCGTCCCAACTCCGACGGCTACGTGTTGTAAGTTTATACACACACGAACGACGCCTTACGTGTGTATAGCTCGGGCATTTAATAGTCTTCCTGGCATCCACACCCACACGAGCGTTGTCTGCCCTCGAAGATTGGACAATAACATATATTTTGCTAATCAGCATTGACATAATACGTGACACCAAGACGACATTGTCCCACGGGTTCTTCTAATATCGTGGTTGAGCGAATGACAATGGTAAGACTACCTTGGTTCTTCGGCGTCTTAATCGTACAGGTATTAACAAGCTAGTGCGTCACCATTCACTCGCTGTAATCCAAAGCTCATATTTACTCTCTCTATGAGGAGAGTAAGTTTATCAATGTCTTTCCTTTCATCGCGATATCCCACAGTTTATGCCTTACGTCCTGCGAATCCAGCTAAACAAACGAAAACATGAGCTCCCCTCTCCCCTCCCCTCCCCAATATATTCTGAAGGAGTTTGGATGGAACTGAACTTGATCGTTTTTCTATCGAGCTCGTAGTTGCACCCTAGATGTGATAGTAACCTCAAACTACGGACACATATTGCATTACTTTCTACAAATTACACCTTGCATTAACTTGGCGTGTGGTAATTAGTACGGGTATGTTCCGCTTAGGGGCAAATCCTACAGGTGAATACTGAAACGATTTTGCAGTGCCTCTTTTAAAAAGACTGAAAATTGTAGAATGTCCCGAATGTCTCAAGTCCACCTTCAGGGAATATCCCTTTGATGGAAACTATTTAGGCCTTTTATTTGTAAACTATCTCTGTTTGCTGAATTCAGTGATGTGCAGCAGTAAGCTGGATTTCAGAGCAGAATATAGCAAGCAAGTAAATTCTTCCTTAGTGGGGCTTGCACTGAATGCAGCAGATTGTACCACTTGATTTAGAATAAAAAAAATGAAAACAAGTATTTAGTAGTTCATGAAGAGATAGACGTCCCGCAAAGGGATGCTTTCCCCGCATCCAGCTGTAGCATTCATTACAGTGAGGTTCATCTCCAAATTATGATGAATACTTTACAGCACCTGCTTTACGAAAGTTAAAAAATGTTTCAATGTGAGGGTACGAGAACTGGTGGCCATATTGACTACTCCAAGTTGCCCAAAGTTGCCAAAGTCTCAACCAAGCTCATTTTATTCTTGGGCCCCTGAATTAAAAAAATGATACAGTAAACGCCATTTCTAGGCTCCGACATATTGCCCGAACTATATAGCAGATTGCCTCCTTGAATATTAACAATCATCTGTTTAAGTTTCTGGAGAAAAATAGATTAAAATAGAAACTGCAAATTGAAAAAAAAAACACTGCTGAGGAATTTACGATGAATCCACGTCTGGAAACAGAATGATCACTTGTAATCAACTCATTCCACGGTTAATAGCTGATAAACACTGATGTTCATGGATCGCTTCTTAGGGGAGCTTTCAAAAGCTAAGTGAAATTAATTTGCTCAGTTCACTTCTAATTATTGGAGTACTATTTTTATACGAATCCTATCTCCGCACCAGAGACGTACTACTATACATGTATTACGGTCTTTTTGGTCTTTTTTGTCTTCAGTCTTCATATTTTGTAAATTTTCGTTTCTCAGCGACATGTTGAATCCTTTTAGAGAAACTGAATTAGAAAGTTCGTTATTACGAAAAAGAAAAATGCAACAAATGGCCCCGAACACATAAACACAAACACCCATACACACGCGCGCACACACACACACACACACACACACACACACACACACACACA